CCAAACAAAGCCCTAATATTCCAACCTTAGCTGACCAGAAGGGCACAGATTCCTCCAATCTGTCTTACAACAATTGGATTGTGAAAATCTTATTTGTCTACAAAATAATGCCATACCTTTTCATTCACATGTGTTCTCCTTCTTTTGTATTTAACAATACAGTGAAAGTTATGGTTAAATTTGCTTTATACAGTTTGTATTAACTATTAAATAAGTACCCTTTAAGTTTTCTTTTCCATCCATTTGGCCTCAATTAATATAAATAATTTGATCTCGAATATTTTCTTATTGATTGCTTTTAACATCCTGATGTTGGCCTTTCAAATTAATTAATTCTTGTTTATGAATTTAGCTTTTTCAAACTTTATGGCATCTTGGAACTTTTTGTTGACTTGTCTTTCTCAAAAATTTCTTCAGCCTCTTCATGGCCGTAATATAAGGGTGAATTATGCAAATGATAGAACTCCTCGTGGAGGTGGAGGTTATAATCGTGACTTTGGCAACAATTTTGGAGGTAACTTTGGTGGTGGAAACTATGGTTCTTCTGATGGAAACTATGCTGGTTATGGCAGTAATACTGGTACTGCCAATTCCTATGGAAGCCAAGGAAATTATGGCAGCGGTAGTTATGGCCCTGGTGATGGTTTTGGAACAGATGGTAGTTATGCAGGCGGAAATGCTTATGGTGGTGTTGGTCCTGATACCGGTGGCAGTTATAACAATGCCGGCGGTGGATTTGAAGAAGGTGCCGATTTGGGGTATGGCAATGCCAATCAATTTGGCACCACTGGAAACAGCAACATGGATGGCGTAGCCGGAACTGATAATCAAATTGATGTAGAGGAAAGGGATGATGTTGGTGATGATAACCATCTAGAGAAAAGGGCTTGAAAGTGTGTTTTCAAATTCATTTGGCAGAAACTGAATATGCTTGTACCCCAATAAGAATAGGATTGACCTTTTTAACTATTTTTCTATGTTGAGAATGCTGTAGTGCAGTCTTAACCACTGATGATGGTGGGGTAAGCTCCCAATATTAGGAGCCCGCCTCCTCCATCAATGGTTAAGATGGATAGCAGGTCACTTTTGTGTTCTATGGTAGTAGTAGGATAATTTTTTTGTCCCTTTGTTGACTTCCTGTTCCTTTGGATATTCTCTTTTTTTTCTTGTTTCTTTAACATATAATTGGGAGATTCATATATCATTTGACATTAAGGGCCTTCAATAGAAAAGGTGCGTTCGTAAAGTTGTTTTTAGTTTTTGGTGTGGTAAAAAAGTGACCATTCGTAAGTGCCTATTGTTTGAGGGAGGGTGAACCCATATACGGAGGCATTTCTTCACTAATATGGTACAATATTGTATGCTCCTAATAGGTGATACATATGGTTATTAGTTTTCATTTTTAGTATGATATATGTGATTATGGGGATGGAACTTATAAATAATTATTATTATTTATTGTCAGATATTGAGACTGTTGTTACCTGTTAGGATTTAAAAGTTATTTGCTTTAAAATATTAAAAAGTGAATTTTATATTATTTAATGATTTTTTTTTTTAAATCTATAATATTGTATATATCAATTCATTTAATACCATGATATAAGTCATATCATTAAGCTCAAATTTTCAGCCTTTCTATCATTAATCTATCTGTATAGAGGTATTGAACTGCTAATAAAGTTTCAGACACCCCATAGCCACTGATAAACTGAAAAATAAATAAACGAAAATTTCAGGGCATACAGGCTTGAAGGTAGTCCAACGAAAAAAAAAATTGAGGCTTAGAAAAATAGATGCCTTCAATGGGGCAGTCCATACGGTGGAAAGAATTCAAAACCCTCTGAGTGGCAAAATGTCGGTTTCGGTTTTACTAACCGAAAAATTTTTACTTTTAATTTTTCAAATCTAAAACTAAAATAAAAAATATAATTTTTTTTCTTTTTATTATCTAAACTTTTTATTTTTGTGGATTTGATTTCAATTTTAGCTAGTATTTACTTCCTCTATTTATTTTTAACAAATTTAATTTGACTTATTTATTTTTAAAATTTAAATTTTAGATAAAATTTCAATATATTTTGTAAATAATAATTAAAATTTTTGTCCAGAGGATTCGGTTTTATCACATACACCAGCAGTGAGGAGGCCTCTTGTGCTATCCAAGCATTGGATGGACAGGTAATACAACTTTATATATTGAGAAAGTAACA